AACTTCATTTAATTTCTTTATTAATTCAAGAAATAGGCCTTGGGACACTCCAAAATATCTATCAAAAGAATATTCATTATATTTTCAATAAAGGAATTTTTGGGAAAATATACATTTTTTAAAAAATATTCCATATCAATGGTAACACATTCATACTCTGTGTGTGTGTCAAAGGAAGTAAATTAAATTGAACATATCATTGTTGAGTTATGAGAATATATACTTATGTGCATATGTATGTATGTCAACAATCAATACAGGGTAGTCTCTAGAGAATAAACGGAGATATTTTTACATGGAACAAAATAATGACCCCATATGTCTATAATAGAGATTTGCTTTGCCAGGGTCTAAGGATGATAGTTCAAATGATTAAAATTCATGATCATTGAAGTATATTTATGTAACTTACACTTGAGGGAAAGATTGTGAGGCTTGAATAAGAGAGACTTATTTGTGTAACTCACACTTAGAGAAAGATTGTTGGAATATAAATGTATGTTAATATTGGATGAAGTGCCACTTATATATTTATATATTTCCTCCCAATACACAATAGACATCTCTAATTGATATTATATCGAGATTGTAAATCAATAATTGATTATGAAAGTTGAAAAATTTATTGATGGTTAAACATGTTATAGTAAATTATAAGTTTATCGATTTTGATAAATATATTGTTGGCATAACTTGTTTGATTATTTTGAATCATTTACACATTGCAAATAGCTATTGAGAATATGTATTGATATCCATTGAAAAATTGAAAGGATTTTCAGTAATAGTCAACATATATATTCTGTAACTAGATAATTAGTATGTGTTATTTTTTCTTAAAAATTTAATTATGAAAGTATCACTAGTTATAATTTGAAATGAATCTTCACATTTTTTGAAATACATTCAATTCATATATATGAGCCTAATCAAATAGCATGTAAAACATAAAAGTATTTGATAAATCTAGTAGATGCATCTATAAAATAGTTACATGCATGGTTATTTTCGATTTGCAACTTGAAGTTTGTAAGATTATTTGAATAAAGTATTATAGTGATTGCACAATTTTCGGTTCATGAATGATTCAAACAATTTCTATTAAAAATTATAGTGAAGTTATATCTCAAGCTTTGCATTAATGTACTTACGAGAAAAATAGTTGAAAATTCTATTTTACAAAGTGATCTAGCAAGACTATTTATTAAAACTTCTATAAGAAGCTAGATCAGTACTTATAAAAACAAAATTTTTATTTTACTTTTGGTATATTTTATCTTACATATTGTAGCACTTATACACTTTAAGCCAACAAAATTCTCCTACTAAAATTGGCTTTTAGTTCGAAGCTAGATATTTTTTAAATTTGAATATATAGCAATTATTCTTATTATTACTCCACCACACTAGACAGGAATTAGTGTTTGGTGAAAAACTCATTCTTCTTGTTTGTTTCTAAATGAAACAAATGAATGTTTTCCAAAGGAAACAAATAAAATTAGGAGATTTATTCATATAATGAGTTGGTCATTGATTGACTAAGTTTTCTCAACTTAAAGGGGAGAAAAAACTAGCTCTAAAATAAAATATATGGAATGCATTATCATTTTTTTGTTTATATCCTCTCAAACAACAATATAAATCAAAAATTCATCAAATGCATCCACAAAATATTATAAAATATCTGCAAGATACAATTACTAATTAAAGTGAGAATTATTAAATCTCAAATTCTAGTTGAAATGCTCCGATGATTATAAAAGGAACGAGACATGTTTGAAACATGAAAATTTAACTAGTTTTAAATATAAATATATTGAAAAAGATGAATATATAATTAAAATGATCATATTGAGGAGACTGACATCCTAAAAGAAGGGTTAAGATATAACTGATCATGAAAGCTCCAAAAAAGGTTTAGGTACCTAAAAGTAATAAAGATATTTCAAAAAGTTATGCCGCAAATAGAAAAATGAAAACTAAAAATATAAAGTTGTCGGTAGTAATTTTGATGATAACATCATGTGATCAAATGATAATCTTATGCAAATATGTTATGAAAAGTAAATAGAAAGATGAGTAGCCAAAGGAAAAAATGAGAAGTAACATAACGTGACTATAATTACATTTAAATATATGAACATAGACCTGTAACTAAACACCTAATATGTAAAATTATTTTGAATAGTTATGTGAAATTATTTTGAGATATATGAATATTTATGGAAAAATAAAAATTTTCACAATGATATAATGATGTTCATGACCAAATATGTCATCTCATAGCAGACATTTGTATATATTATTAATTTGGCAATGTGTAAATTGAAATATGATGTGCCTATTGGATATTATAGTATATGTATATGATTCACTAATTAGTAAAATTTACATAAAAATAATTGAAGGATAAAAAATGCCAAAAGCATAACTAAGATAATTATTTATTATGTGGATTAAAATAATCTGAGTGGACGTAATTAACTAAAAGGACTTGCATTGGAAAAATATGTATAATTTTTCAAGTCGAATTGTTAAATATCCTTATGATTTCAATATCATTATATTTTTATGATAATTTTGTCAAAAAAAATATACTAAATATAATGCTCTATGAATACCATGTATTTTACTATAATGTTTATATATCTTTATGGTATTGCATATGTTATAATTTTGCAAGAAAAATTAAGTTCTTGAAGGTGGAAAAATAGATAATGAAATAAATATTCGGTGTAGTTCTATAAAACCATTATATCATATCATTTTATTAAAAGCAAATTGAATATGTAAATACAAGATATATCATGATGATTTTTCAGAATAACTTTTCTTTTATAATATTCATGGTTCATAAGACAAACAAGTGTGTATTGATAATTCAACATATTCAAAAGATATGTTACAAGGATATATATATATATATATATATAATCTAACATATCAGAAAATATACTCGAAGATAATGTATGATGAAAATGCATTATGCATACTATGGCTAAAAAGAAGATTTAGTTGAAAAAAAATATTTGCAAAAATTACGATTGATAAATTAGTTTTCTCTATCAAGATACAATAACGAGAAGTAATATTATTATAGGAGGAGTTAAATTGATGTCTTCGTAGGGGAGTAAAATTAATGCTTTACTCTTTTTTTTCGTTAGTTAAGGTTTTGTCTTACAAGTTTTACTTGATGAAGTTTTTAATGAGATAGTTTCAATATATATTGTACACTCCTTTTCATTTACTAAATTTTTGTCTCATTGGTCTTTTTTGGTAAAATTTGAATGAGACATAGTATTTGTTTACAAACATCAAAAGAAAAGTATTATGAATATTATAATTTGTGGACGTTTATAACTTCACAACCTCTTAGGTTCCATCTCATGGTTAATGCAATTTATCCTACAACTCTTTAATTGGCAGTTTTTTAATATTTATTCATATAAGCTCCAATGGTTTTATGTTGTACCATGATACAGAATAATTCTTTTATTTAAGAAATTATAACTCTTATGTGTAGGGTTGGAGATTTATAAATAGAGAATATACACCATACATCAGTGATATCCAAGTCAATGAATATTGCTCCTCATTTCTCTCCAATTTTCTCTTGTGTTCTTCATTTATTTCATCTCAATCTTTTACATTGTTCTTATTTTCATAACATATGTCAACTATTTGATCTAGCATGCATAACAAAAATTAAACAGTGTTCAAAAAATTTTAGTTTGATCTAATTTTGCGCAATACCAAATCCGTCATTTTTTTGGCAAAATGTTATTATTTTAATAAATTAAATTTAAATTTAAACGCATACTGTTTTTAAAATACTACTTAATATTCAAAAAAAAAAAAACATGGAACTTCCCTATATGCTCATAGCTGAATAAGAATTAATATTAGAAAAAATGATAATAAAATTTTATCAAAATATATAAATGACCATTAACGGTGAAAATAGGCTAGGTTAAATTAAATTTTGATCAAATAAATCTAAGCTTGTGTGATAAATCAAAGACCTAAACTTGGCTAGAAGCCTGTATATGACTTTTTTTACAGATCAAGCTTGAAAATACAATACGATATAATAATAAAGTAACAATATCAAGATTAATATATAAGTTTAATATGATTGAAAATATAATTAAAAATAAAAAATAATAGATTGATTAAAAATTAAATAGTAAAACTAAAATATTTGTTAAATATTGGCCAGCATGTTGGATTCATAGGGTGGCTTCAAAAAAATAAGTCAAACCTATTTAACTAAACATGCTTAATTAAAAGCATAAGCATATTTCGTAAGTTAGGCTGAACCTTATGTAGGTCAGCTGTAGGCTTTAATTAAGAGCTTGGCCTATTTCCCCCCTTAAATTAACAATCAAGTCTCTTAAAATGTCATAATTTTTTTAAATCTTTGAGTACCTTCATAGTATTAATAATTTTAAGTTAAATAATTATATTGCTTCTTGTTTAATGATAAAAAAAATTATATTCAAGAAGTTATGATTTTTTATTTAATATTTACAATTCACAAAATAAAAATTATAATTGTTTAAACAAAAGTTATGACTAATTGTTTTCAAAATTTAGTCTTCAATGATAAAAAAAATCTCACATAAATTTTAATTTTTTATTTAATATTTATAATTCACAAAATAAAATTTATAATTTATTAAACAACAATTGTACTAATTATTTTAAGTGTTTAAATTTTAATGATAAAAAAATTTATGTCAAAAAATTTAATTTCTTATTTAATTTTAATGATTCATAAAAGAAAAATTATAATTAATTATTTTAAATAAACATTTAATTATTTAATTTAAAATTATTAATGTCAAGTCAGAAATTTACGAGGAATTATAACATTTTAAAAGAGCTAATTATCACATAAATATTTTAACGGAATTTTCTTGTCATTTTCCCATATTAATATTCCCAAATTATCGATTTACGTGTCATTAACATTGCACGCTACTTTTTACCACCGCAGATTACAATACAAGGCTCAGACAGGCCCGATGAAGAAAGCACGTACAACCCGAAGTCGCAAATAAAGAGTCAAAATAATGGCCCAGCAGACTCTAGATCAGCGAAGTCGTAATAACTTCTACATACATATATGCATAAAAAAAGCTCTACATACACATGCTTTATGCAGGCCATGTCGGACACCATATACATTTATTGACCAAAAAAAAAAAAAGGATAGGCCTACTCGTTCAGCATCAGTAGTTCGGTACTTAATCACGGGATGCCACACACCATTGGGTTCACTATCATTGAAATATTAAAGACGCTTCATCTGAGCGTCCTCCCCATTAACTAAATCCAAAACAACACGTTTGATGCTTCCATTGTTCTTCTTCAGCAGCCTCCTGTTCATTTCATTATCGCGGAAGCCCTGAATTCACAAATAATCAGGTGTTAAAAGGCACAGGTGATTACGAAAAGAAACAAGCAGCATCAATACCACATCCAATGAAAACACTCTGCTCAAACAACTTACCATCTCCTGTAACTCATCAAGAAGAGGGTCCCAGTCAGAAACACCGCAGAGATCATCCACTGACTGCTCCAGATCGTACTCGTTCATCCTCAAGATCTCCTTGTTCAAATCAACCTGCCTGAAACCCATCTCCTCAAGTTCCTTAAGAAGAGTCTCCTCTAAGGAATTATCTCCATCTATTATTTCAGAGGACGATGACGGTGGAACAACATCAGGGCTTTGCGAATTAGAGGCAACAGCAGGAGCTGTTTCTGAGAAATCAATGATAGGGTAAGAAACAGTGGGAGGTGCCGCAGAAGTTGCAGGGGGCAAGCCACCATGACCCACAGTTGTAGTTTCATCCATAAAGAGATTTTCTCCCAGCTCTTGCCTGGGTTGCTCATCAACCTGTCGCTTCTCAAATTTTGTGGAAGCGCTAGGATTGAAGGATTGGGATTGAAGAAAGGCGTCATTCACTTCAGGACGAACATTGATATCTATATTCTCCGGCCCTTTAGAACCACTTTCTTCAAGGGGTATATTCAAGTTCAGGCCTTGAGAGTCATCATAAAATGAATCCTTGAGTGAAGCATCCACCTATGTGCAGGATAAAAACATAAGCCCAATTTCACGGAACCACCACCAACAGCACCCAAAGTTTCTCAGCCGAATAATTGAAAATAAATGCAATGTCCACAAAACTGGTTTACCTGAATAAGCACCCAAACACGTTGTCCAAACTTTTGACCAGCAGGGAATGCCATTCTCCAGTATGAAATGTATTGACCTGGAGACTTTGGTGCCCTAAAGTCAACAGCAACGTCAAGTTCTTTGTCCACAGGTATGCCTTCCACAGGAATCTGTGGCATGTTTTACAAGATAAAGCACTCAGAAGACTAAGACAAAACATTCTAAAATAAGCAAAACAAGCCTTTAGAAAAGCTCGTTAATTAAAAGCAATGATCAAACTACAAGATGAGAATCCAAAAAACCTCCAAGTTAACTGAATGGAAGTCGCTGAATTTGTCCCCTCCAATCCAAACAAGTTGACATCCTTTGGGCCAGGGCACAGTGCCATTGTTGCGCATCCGCCAAATCTTTGTAAATGTGGTAGATGGCGCCATTATTGTACCATCTATTACAGTAACATCCAAAATGAACCGGCTGTCTATCCTGGTCTTGGACATCCACTGGTTCACAAGAGCTTTGTTTCTAAGAACATGTGCCATTGGCTGGCAGGAAAAAGGGAACAAAATCAGCAGATACATAAAACTAAAGCAGGATGACAACATAGTAAAAGAGTTCATAAAAATTTTTACACGTCGATAATCATGCAAAATCTTAATGGGTCCTGGGCGACGGCAGGGTACAGGACGATCAATTCTGACATAATCTGTTCCATTACCAATTTCAGTGAAGCAGATGCTGCAAAGGTCATAATTTTCTTTCCTGCAACAAGAGAAATTTGTATAAACTTTTAAAAAATACCTATTGAAACCTATTCCATAATATTAGTGACATAAAAAAAAAATCTTACTCTTTGGATTTGTAACGAGGTCCTGTTATAGGATAAACACCACATCCATCACAGAGGATACCCTTATGGAACATGCCACCCATGGCCTCAGTGTGACTATGGCTCCTTTTAAATGGATGGACCCGATGGTTTTCAAAAGAGGGTGCTGTTGAATCAACAACATTCAATCCAGAAAAGGGACATCCAACAAAAGGACTGAAACCAATTGGTGTAGACTGGGTTGAGATGTTGCCAGCAGCTGCCTGACTAGTGGATGCCCCAGGACTACCACCCTTACACTTCATGTCATCATCTGTAGCTTTCTTACCCTTTTTACCATCACCTTCGGGTGCTGCTGAGAAAACTTGTACAGCATCTGCACTTGTGGATTGAGATGGATTCGAATCAGAGGGGACAACATTGAGATCAACAGAAGCAACTGGTGCTGTTACACCTCTCGTAACACTTTCATTTAACTGTTGATTGGCTTCAGAAGGTGAGTCCACAAATGGAGACTCTGGACAACTTAGAGCATGGGGGTCAGATTCTTTACTAGCATCACTTTTAGAGTGAATACCAGCTGCACCCACAGGCTGGGAGTTTGGATTTCTCTTGGATTGACCCAATTTGGATATGGAATCCACAAGAGTACCAATCACTGGACTAGATGATGCAGCTTTGGAAGCCAAGTTTAGAGATAAATTAGAAAGGAACTCAAGTACTGGCTCTGGAACAGATTTAAAATCATCAGAAACGGCAGCACTTCCACTCCCCATAAATGGATTCAAGATGCGAGGGGACCTTAAGGGAGTAGAACTTCCACTAGCCATTGAATTTGATTTACTAGCATTATCATTGCTCATTTGTAAATTAATTTTCAAGAATTTTAGGTTCTGCCTCATCACATCAAGCAGATCATCATCATCCACAAGCGTCACCAAATCCCCATCTTCGTCAACATATCTCAGCACGAAATTGGCTTCAGGGGGGATATTGAAAAGGGAACAAGCCTTGGACCTCAATCTAGCCATGTCCAGATCCAGTTGATTGTTCTCATCCACACGAGCATTGAAACGCCTGAGGCTATCTCCATATTTGACCTATAAAAATAACGAAAAACAAGAAAGCATTTGAAATTCTACAATAGTGGAGCCATGCTTAAGCTTGAAAATAAACAAAATTCAAGACCAGATACGAAATCAAAAAATATGCGAAACTATTTCTCATAAAGTTAAGAATCACGTGAACTGTCAACTAACATTAAAAAAGCACAACTTGTTTCGGTACCAAACAAATATATGCGTGTGGGTGTGGGTGCACTGTAAACTCCAAGAGAATTGGTATCAATCCTTGGAAAAGATGTCGAAATAAAAATGCGTGGTTATAGATTAAGAAAATGCTATAGTGAACATGACATTCAAATAAACAAGAATTAGTTGATAAACATGGAGATAAGTCAAAGAACAAAGTTGTACTATGGAGAAAACTGAAGTGTTTGCGCTCTTCTACCCTGGGAAATTTGTGAGCGTAAAATATAATTTCAATCTCTGGAGGAAATTATCAAGAAACATTTCACCATCAACTCACCCAATGAGATAAATTCGCAACAAATAAAAAGATATGGCAAATTAAAACCAAAACTAGCAACGAACGCATTCAAAATCCAACAAAACTTCGAAGGCCCCCCACCCACGAGTTTCCCAAAAGAACTGAGAAACAAATAAATAAATTGAACCCCAAACAACAAAACCGGATGGGGGAAATGGAAATTGAAAATTCAAACCTTGATCACTAGAGTAGACTCCATGGCTTAAGAGCACCAGCCGAGCACCGACCAAAGAACGCGTAGTAGTGAGGCGCGAGGCAAAGACTCAAAACCCTAACCCTAGGCAGAGAAGAGCTTCAGATTGGAAACAAGGAAGGCAGGGACTAAAACCTTCGAAGCGTCCCTGGTAAGCCGCTATCGACGCTCAGGTTTCCGCGTTCACTCCGATACAGAGGGGTAATACGCGGATCGTATGATATATAGTTACTAAGTTGGCTTGGTGGATAAGAAAATTTCTTTGACTTTTTATTTCTTCGTTGCAAAGTTAGCCGTGGGACCCGCTGAGATATGCTGCGAGCTGGGCATAATCTCTTGTACAAAAAAATTAAAAAAAAAAACTTGTACCAAAATATAAATGTATTTCAAAACTTTTTTTTTTTGTGTAAAAATATATATAAATATGTTTATATTGAAAATAATAATTATAAAAATTTTATTTTTCAACACTATATAAATAATCATGACATAAAAGTTAGGGCGAATCGCAATAAAGGCTTTTATAGTGAACATAATTGTAGATAAGGTTTAAATAATTTTGATATATCTCTGAACGTCCAAGGGCTTTATTTGTAATTATGTTCAACATTGTAATGACCCAATTACCCCTCACATTCAGGTCACTCATCAACTTTGCATTTTCTTCCTTCTCTTCTTCTTTCTTATACTTTCTTCTTTTCCTTCCTCTTCTGTATTGATTCCTTGTTGTTTTTTAGATAATTTTTTAGTAAAGATAATGCTCATGGCAATGGATGGGAGGGCAAATATGATGTCTTGCAATTCTTTCACTGATATAGCCATGAATCATGGATAGTTGTTGCTGTGGGTAGCTAATGACAAACTTGCGGTCGCCGCAAACCATTATGTAAGAGTGGATTGTGTCTTATTATACGCTATTAGAATTTCCACTAATATAATACATTTGATTGTGATCATACTTTTATAGCACCATTACACTAGATTCTTTGAAGAACATTGTATCATCATCTCCTTGCACTTCTTAGGACCATGCATCTTTCCCATCCTTATATTTTGTTGTGAAATATTTCATTAACTAAGGAATGTATATCTAAATGGATATTTTGTCGTTAATAAATGAATTTTAATTATTATTTAAGGACCTTTTGTTGTACATTTCAAATGGGTTACTTGTGAATTTCAAGTAGGATATAGTTATTGATTTAATGAAAACAAAGTGTTATTTATAAATTTTTTATTATTTTTGATACAGATTTTTTTACAGTGAATATACATATTTTGGTGTAGATATTATTTATGAAAATTATATTGTTATTTGTAGAGTTTACATTGTACAAACTTTATAATTAACTTGTGCAAATGTCTTTGTATATCATATATACAGACCTTGTATTGTAAATATATGGACTTTTTGATGTTACTTATGGATATTCTGTTGTAAATTACTCCTTAGGTCCTATTTACAAGTCACTTTTAATACGCTTCATCAATACTGAGGAAAATTTTAAAACTCATTAACTCTGTCTTAAAATTTAATAAGTTATCAACTTTATCCCTATTAAATGTACACACTTTAATAATATATTTTCTCTCTCCAACATTCAATGGAAGATAACAGAGAAAATTTGTGATGAAAATTTAATAACGTGACTTATAAATAGGACTAAATTTTTTTTTCTTCTTTTGCCTTATAAATAGGACTAGAGGGACTAGTTAATTGCAACACTCGATGAATTAGATTATAAGGAAGAAGCCTTTTACATCTTATTATGCAATAATATTTTTTTGAAACTTCGACTTCTGATTTGCTAATAGTTAAAAGATTAGATTATGTGTTGTAAAAATATGAATATTATCATATTAATATTGGGCATTCAGTTGTGAAGTCAATTATAGATTATCCAAATATGATGCATTTGTTCTTGAAAATTCAATGAAAACATATTATTAATATATAAGGACCTTGTGCAGATATTCATGTGTACCATATAAAAGAAACTTGTGTTGCTAATATGTGAAACTCGTCATGTTATTTGAACTTAACCGAACGGATGATGTGAAATATATGAATATTATATTGTTAATAAGTGAACTTTGTCATGTTATATATGGACTTTTTGATGTTCATAAACTGGGAAGCTTTTGCAAATGTTCAACTTAACAACATAGATAATGTAAAATAGATGGACATTGTATTGTTAACAAATTGATACTTTCATTTTATACATTGACTTTCCATTATTCATAAATTTGAAAAACTTTTTTAAATGTTTAGCTTAATCACACAAGCTATATGAAATAAATAAATATCATGTTGTTAAAAAATGGATCTTATCATATTATATATAGACTTTTTGTTGTTCATAAACTTGAAATTTTTTTTTGTTAAGCTTAGCCAATTAATAAACTAGACATGCATGGATTTTTAGATGAAAATATAAACATTATGTTATGTGTGATGGATATTGTGTTGTATATTGTTTACCTAATTCATACATTTTGTCAAGTCTAATCTATTGATCAATTGGACATACATGGACTTTTAGTTGAGAATATATGAATATTGTGTTGTGCATAATAGATATTGTGGTGTACATTGTTTGCCTAATTTGTACATTTTGTTAAGCCTAATCTATTGATCAATTAGACATGTATGGACTTTTTAGTTGAGTATGAACATTATATTATGCATAGTAGATATTATGTTGTACATTATTTGCTTAACTTGTATTTTTTGTTAAGTCTAGCCTGGAAAACATGGGTACGCCAAAAATGGCACCATTGTTGTGTTGGATACGTACTCGACATGGAGACGTGTCCCAAACACAGATGCAGTGCATCCCTTTTTTTTTGTCAATACATTCGGATATGGGTAGGTACAAGTTGACATAGGCAGATGTGGGTTAGATGTAGAGCACAACGAGGTTTTTGGCATGTTTTTTTTTTGAAAAATTTGATGCCTTACTTCGTCGTTTCTATCTTATTCCCAAATCCATCACTTTTTCTCCCACGTTGAGTTATGTCGCTCTTATAGCTTTGTTTCTGACGATTTGACCTAGTGACCTTGAATTTGTCGTTGTCCTTCCCTTCGACTTTGGCCTATGGTTTTGTCACCGTTGCTTGTCCAGTCATCTTTCTTTGCAGCTTCATCAACTCAAGTTGCCTAACCAGCCAACTCATATGGCCTAATCATTCTGTCTCTCCTCATCTCTCAGCCAGTTGAGACTTGTAAACTTGTTGTGCACTATTAGTGTTTTCACTTTCTTGTTGTGCTTTCTATTTTTACGATTGTCAAGACTGGAATTTAAATAAATTATTTAGATAATTTAGATAAATTATGAAATTGAAAATAAGTATGTCTTTAAATATTTAATATTTTATTATTTATATAGCCATACCTATATCCTAAAATTTTTAAAAATTGTCGTATTCGATACTCGTATCCATATTGGTGCTTCATAGAGCCTAGCCTACTAATAAATTGGACATGCATAAACTTTCAGTGAGAATATATGAACATTATATTATACATGGTAAATATTGTGTTGTACATTATTTGCCTAACTTATATTTTGTTAAGCCTAACATGCTGATATATTGGACAAGCATGAACTTTTTCAAATCATAAGGGCAAAAATCATATTTTTGATCTAAAAAAAAATTATAACAAAAGGCCTTAAATCTGCGGTACAATATCAAAATTTTTAAGTTCAAAGTGTAATAATTTATTTTTTCAAGGTCCTTAATATGATTCCCCTTAAAAGTTAACTATGTGTTTCTTTATAAACTTTACTTTCATTGAAAATGTTATATTTAGGATTAATATTATTTTTAAAGTCAAAGGCAATCACTACATCTGTACAGCATGTTAGTACTTATTTTCCTAGACCTATCTTTATATATGATTATTGGTTAGTTATACGTTACACTTTCAAGTGTTAAAAATATGCATGGCTCGAAAAGTTTGATCCATGGAAATGATAACATGACAATGACAACTACTACTAGTGTCTTCAAAAAGATATTTCAAAACATCAAAACTTTCAATATATTTGAGAATTAAATCATTTTGTTGACTTTAGACCTACATTTTTGTTTCCTAAATATTAATTTAGATAAAACGCAAACACCTTGATTCAATCTTTAATAATTCAGTCATTTTTTCTTATACAATTGCCATTTATCATTGTCATGATCCGAACTCGTGTATTCTCATACATAATAGCATTATTTAACGCATGCAACCGAAGGGGTTGTGACTAGTTGTCAATGAACAAGAGAATCAAACATAAGAATGGCCTGAACTGGAGTTTCGATTCCCGCCCAATAAAAACAGGAGAAGAGCGTCTAAACCATAGAGTAAAACAGCAACTCTTTCCAGCTCAATCGAATCAGAGAAGCACCGCCAAACTGGAGGAAATGCATTGAACTTTACATCACTTAATGGACGGTGGAGGTTTGTTGATAATAGATGGTCGGGCTGTCTACTCAATCAGTTAAATGGATCATTCCACCTATTATTCCACCTACAACCAATACTTAGAGAAACCACTCGAAGTTCTAACTCTGACCATATCTCCACCCCCCCCCCCCCCAAAAAAACCAAACACACGCACACGACGCACCGCTTCCTCCATTCTTATCTCTGAGAATTTGAAGGAAAAAGCTTGAGAACGAAGGCAGAAAACACTGGCGGAGAAATTAAAACTTGGTGATTAGTGAATACTGTGCATTGGTAACTGTCGCTCTTCCATGGTCCGTCTTGAAATTATAGTTAAACTTTCTTCTAGCATAGCTAAACTTTGACAACCAAACAATCTAAGAAAAACACGAGTATGTCTGTTATCATCTGCTTTCAGCAAGGCATAGCGGCTTTGGTGCAACCAAAGGAGATAAAGGGAATTGACACTTGCCAGCGTGCAGCATTTACAATTTATAATCTTCAACTGATGAGCTTATTGATGAGAGCATTCAAATCCAGAATAAAGCTACTGTACCCTCCCCTTAAAGCCGCTGATCAAGGTAAGGATCTCTTGGAGTCCTAGGAGATCCCAAGGCAGATCCCAGATACTCGGTAACATTTCCAGAAACACTGGATACATAATTCTTCAACCAGGAGGTGCTTCGTGTTAACCAGCCAGCCTCTGCCAGTTCTTGGATTTCACGGCTTTTCCTTTCCTCCTCAAGCAATATATCAACCCATCTCTTAGCCATAAAAGTTTTTACGGCTCCAACCCCTTCATCTACAATTTCCTTTGGTGGCAATTCCAGAGGGTTCTCCCCCAAGTTGAGCTTGACCAAATTGTCAAGGCGACCAAATGTATCAGGAAGTGCATGAATCTGATTGTTGCTGAGATCCAATTCCCTGAGGTTAGTCAGATCACCAAATGTCTCAGGAAGTTCTCTAAGGTCACTGAAATTACTGCTCAGGTTGAGAACTTCAAGATTAGTCAATTTCCCTATTGCAATAGGAAGCCCATGAAGCTCATTAAAATGAGCATCTAGACAGCGCAACGCTCTCATTTCACAAACAGATGATGGAAGAGATCGAATCTTGTTCAATTGAATAGACAGCCTCTGTAAGTTTACTAGTTCATGTCCAATGTTTGTTGGCAAATATGTCAGACCATTGAAGCTTACATCCAGCTCCACCAATGACCTGATCATTTAAAATACATATTTAGAGTTTCCAGATGATGAGTTTGGTCAATCACAATCCGACAAACCACTTCTTCAGTTATTTCATGCGGATTTTCTTTTCTTTTCTTTTCTATTTTCTTTTTTAAAAAAAGCTGAAAGATGAACAACTATGGTAAACATTACGCAACGAAGCTGATATTTAAGTGAAGAAATAGATCCTAATTTCACATATTTAAAAAGATCATGCAGTTTCAAAATCTCATACCTGACCCTCTGCTTAATCATATTTAAAAGCAGAGGCATGTTAAGTGTCATATTAATTTGACATGAAAACCAAATCACAAAGTCTACATGAATCACTGAAATTAAATATTTCAACCATAATATAGAGTGCAGATCTAATGAAATTCTCCAAAGTATATATGTTTGTCCTGCATACCTGCAGTGACAGATGGAATCAGGTAGGGCATTTAGCTTGTTCCCAGAGACATTCAGAAATTTCAATTTTTGTAACAAGCCGATTGAATCTGGAAGAGACTCCAAAAGATTTGAAGAGACATTAAGCTCTTCAAGACTTTGCAACCCAGCTACTGAATCAGGGATCGCCTGTTATGTTGTACAGTATGCTGACTCATAAGTAAATCCAAAATAGCACTATAATTTTAGAAATTAATCGAACATCAAGCCAATGCATTCAAAAGGAAAATTGTCCTCAACTCATCAATCTTGCCACACATAGACACATATTTCTTGAATGTTAGTGGGTATATGATCCACCAAACATCCATTTATGCTTTAAAAATCAATTCATGTATCACTAAATCGGGAAAGAGAATACATAAAAATTGAAATAAAACTTTCAGAAATATGTAAATGATAATTATGTTATTGTATATTCCTAAAATAAAAGAATTTGCAAGATAGCTTTAAAGATGAAAATTAAACTAAGAAACAGTTATGAACTCTTGTCATTTTTTTCAAGTTATCCAGCAAAGCCAAGCGTCGTAATGTTATTTTGGATTCACACTAATCAGTATAGAATTGATAGTCATATCTGAGATTCCAATAATCCAATGTAAGCAAGCTTTAGTTTCTACAATTTCAGCAAGAACAGCGAAAATGTTCCAATACCAAGTGGTCTGACCTCGAGCTGATTGTTCGAAAGATCAAGCGCAACCAATCCAGGGATTCGTCCAAAGGCCTCAGGCAAGAACCTTAACCGCCGCCCTGAAAGATCCAATCGCTCTATCCCCTTTCCATATGCCTCCCACATTATCCCCACAACCTCTTCGTTGACCTCTTCCCCAACGTGCTCGTCTTTCTCACCCTCGGCACTATCCGGTGCTTCCCCACCAGACTCGTAAATTTCTACCAGCCTCTTCTCAGCATCCTTAAGCAGTTTCTCATAAGCATCGTGCATCTCGTCCAACTGTATCAGTGATTTACACGGCCGCATATCTTTCTCCGCTAACTCCCTGCACTCCTTCTCTTTTTCGGCTTGATTAGCTCGCCACTGAAGGATGTCAATATTCTCGGGCCTCCGGGACAGCACAATCTCCTCAAGTTGCTTGGACAAAAGGGCTTCAATATCCGCAAGCTTGGCCTTTGCACGATCGACGGCTTCATGGTCGGGTCGCTCCCCGATAAGCTTGAGTATTGATCGGGTCTGGGAGACGTCGGAGACTGCGCGGGTCATGGCAGCTAAGAGTTTGGGATCAGTGAGGTGAGGCATTTTGCCCACAATATCGGATTCAGGCGAAGATGGGCGAAGATGTGGCGGCGGCGGCGGCGGCACAGGGTGAGGTTGTTCGATATCGAATTCGGCGGCGGCGGAAGGTCTGGAACCCAGAGAAGGGAGACGACTCATGACGTAGGAGAGGATAGGGAAGGTTCCGGGGTTGGGATCCATGGCGCCGGAGGAGAGACTGGATTGAGAGGTGTTTGAGTTTGTGAAGCGTGCCGCCTGATGCAGCGAGGAAACTTGATTGATTACTACGCGAAATCAGCCTTGCAGATAAAAACCATTCTGTTCTGATTCCTCGTGTGGTCCGACCCTAGAAATGAGCATTGTCTTTTCTTTTTAGTAGAATAGAGAGATTGTGTCCAAAAACAAATGCAGAACAAAAAAAATTGAAGATGTTAGGATTGGAATTTGCTGACATTAGTATATTGCATGTTTGGCACACATGAAAAGTAACTAAAAATACTTAAGTGATTATTTTTTTTTTTTTTCCTCTTCACCTTTGCTTTGCTGCTGGTCAAATATTTGGATGTCTTGCCAATTGTCTATTAGCAATGCCAGCGATAGACGTGAGCGGCAAACGAACTGTTTGAGTCGTGCCTGAAAGGATATTATCCTTAAAAATTATTTCGACACACTTACAACGATCGACAGTTTTTTAGGATTAAACAAGCACTTCTTACGAAGGAAAGAAATAGAACAACAAAGACTAAAAAACAGACATAGATGAACACAAGAGCAGAAGGCAGAGGGAGGAGAGAATTGCCTCGAAAATTCAAGAGGTTGGTCGAGTTTTTCTATCTGCACTCATGGCTATATATAACCCGAAGATAGATACATGAACGTCGACTCATAACTATCGGTTATGGATTGATGCTTCAGTTACACACGTTTAAGACATTAACTCACAAACTGTCAAGGTTAGAGGTTTTTCGGGTAAGTTAAAAATAATTATTTATTTAAATAACCCGGTAAAAAAAACTCATTGCCTTTTAAACTTGCGTGCAGGGGTTCTATGTTAACCTATCTCAAACGCGCAAGGTCACTTTTATTCCAAACTCATTTTACTAACCCACTTCATTCCTTAATATATATATATATTAGGAGAGTCTTTCATTTAATCAATGTAGAACTTTGACATACACAGTTTTGACACACACACACAACATTGTCATACTGCTACAGGCTGTCATTGTTAAAGCAAAAGAGTATATGACAAAGCTCGCAGGGAAATGGAATCTCTCATATCTCGTTTGCTTAAATAAGCGTCAGACGATAGCAGCAGACTCGATGTATCTACAGAAACGCTCTATCACATTTGCCCTAGATGCCTTAGTTCTCTAGTGCTGTGCTTATCAGAAGCTACAAGCATGGACGTGAAATTACCCGTGAAGCAGACAATATTCAGTGAATTGTTGACATTTTAATCGGTAAGAAAATGGGCGATGACTTTGTCAAAATATGGGCAGATAAGAAAGAGCTTGCTAGTTGCTACGCTTCAAAAATTCCAACCATCTACCGCCATGAGATCAGTAGGATCACAGCTCAACTGTGTATTGCCATTGGAAGGGGACACGTGCTGGTGCCAAAAGAAACGAGATTTTCCTTATTGTCGACATGGCTAGAAGCGCTGTATGAAGACTTCGGACAGATGAGGAGATCTTCCAGAGCTGTTCGTAGGAAGCTAGTTGAGAACGGATTGAGCCAAACTATACTTACATTGCCTTTACTTCAACAGCAGGCTGTGTTACTCAATTGGTTTGATCGCTTTCTTAACAAAGGAGATAACTGTCCCAATATTCAGAAGGCGTTTGAGATTTGGTGGAGAAGGGCTTTCATCAGACAGTTTTCAGCTGAGCAGGATGATTCCCAGCTGCAAACGAGTATTTGTGATTACCCTGCCTGAAAGATATGCTACAGCTCCTAAATAACTGAAGATAAAAAAGAAATTAAATCATCCTTGTGCGTAACTAGTGACTCCTTTACACAACATTTTTTGGCCCTGTGACATAGATACGACAAATTTAAGGGTAGACGAATTGGAAATAGTGAGGAAACGAAGGGGGCAATGAACCTCTCGTTGAATTGTCATTTGTTATCAACATCGCCATGGACGACCCTCCCATTTTAACTTAATGACCTCTAAACTTCATCAACATTGACGTTGATAAAATTTAAAAGTTAAAGATCAAATCTTTATTGCTCATGTAGTTATTTTGTTTGAGGAGAAAAATGTTTTTATTTTTTATTTAAGTGTTTATATGGGATAATCAATTCTTGTCTTCAAATAAAAAAAATCTGAAAATTCTAATTGTGCTTCACTTAGTTTTATGACGTTTCATAAATTAGACTAAATTGCATGAAATTTTCGATGAGTTATACAAATAGAAAATTTATAAATTCTGTAACAATAACCAATATCAATATTAATATATGCCTACATAACGTGTGAAACTGCTTATACAAATCAAATATTGTGACTTATTTTTCACGCCTTATCTGATTTGAGCTCACTGGCCTGATCTGATTTCTACAACGAAATTTTCAGTGCGTGTACAATTTTTTTTTTTTTGATAAACATCAAAACATCACACATTAGGAGCAATTCATTTGGCTATTCTACTGTGAAAAATGGTTCCATATCAAATTGTTATAGTGCGCGTGTTTAAAAAAGGGCATCACAGGAGGGGACTACTAAGCTGGAAACGCTATAATTTGGGCATTCAAACAGGCACAAAATCAATCTCTTTTATCATCGGTCTCGGGCTTGGGATTCGAGTTTTTCTGATTACAATGCACACTACAATTGGATTCCCCTCCAATGGAATTTTAATGCAGGGATGGAAATTGGAAAGGCAGAAGGGATGCGGGGATTTCACATTTAAAATGGGAAAAACTAATTACTTGGCAGATTGGAGCCAGAATTTTCTTTTTGGCTTGAATGAATTTCAAGGGAAATAAAAATAAGAATGGAATGGAAAGGTAATAGAGGTGGAAGTGAGTTTTAAATACATGATTCGATGGAGATGCTGCGATTCTGATCTAGAAATGATGACCAGAAACCACTATAGGAGTGACAAGGAACGACTTCAGAACCCACAATGCTAACCTTCAGACCTTGGCCGTCAATGTTGAAGAAGCAAAAGCCAAGAATGACCTTCATATTCAATATCTACCGTCAGATCGTCATCATTACAGGGTATCTACCTTGCCTCACCGTCTCTTGCCGTCCGCTGAGAAGGAAGGAGTAAGCATCAATGAAGGGAGGAAGATGAAGAATTGGGAAAGCTGAAACCAAGGGTATTTTTTTAAGAAAAAGTCATTCCTAAGCATGTATCTTCATTTCCACCTTCCCCCTTGGGTTTCACCAATCCATTAAACATGGGTTTTACCAATAACAACTTAACAAGTGAATAAGTAATGCAATGTACCAGACACTCTAAAAAATTCACTCCCTCACACATTGCCAGTCCCTATAGCCCATGCCCTCCTAACAAACAGGGACTCCACTATCTTCGTCCATTCAGGAGAAATGAGCAGTGCCATGAAATAAACTGAACTGAAATAAACACAAAACGTAATGCTCCATTTTCCTGGTCCCAAAATTAGAAAAGCCTCCCATTTCTTTCCTTCTTTAGTATTATCATCATTTTTATAATCATATAATCAATTACAATCTTTCTCAACAAAGAATCAGCTATATGCGCCCTTTACCCCTTGAGTCAGTCAAATTTCACAAAATTGAATGCATATGGCGCATTTGGAGGAATAAAACTCAAGGAGTATGATTATAAAATGTAAACCCTCTATAAAGTTATATTCTCTTGCATTACACTCTCTCCTCACATGACCGGAAATGATCTATTTCCTTACCTTTTCCACCAATTCAGCTATTTTAGTTGCCAAATTCAGTGTAGGGGCATGATGTTCTGATGCATTGAAATTTCTCCATCTCTATATAACCCGTTAGCCATGGAAAGAGTTTGTAATTTCTTCAAGAACAAGCAGGCACTCCAAAAGGTGAATTCCTAAACCTTCACAGCACTCTGCACCGGATTATCCACATCTTCGGACTTCGGAGCAACTATACAACTATTAACTCAAGACAGAATAGGATCAGCTCCTTGAGACAGTGTTGGAGGATCCAACCTGTAAAACAAAGAGTTAAATAACTGCATATGTTAGAATTTTTTGCAGCTAAAATATTATTAAACCCATAATAAGTTTATAAAAATTCTTGGCCACAGCTGACAAAAGTAGCTTCGGGCCATGAACAAATCAAGTTATCAAGTCATTATGGGCAATTGATCAAGGATGGGATTCAATTCAGGTATGGAGTTATTTTGCGCATTATAGCTAAGTACCATGAATAACTTGGAACTGATTAGGCGAGCACTCTCGCTTTGAAATTGCATGTCCTATTTAGCCCACAAAGAAATTATGTTTGCAGATGAAATTACGCATGCATGCACGACAGAAGTCCGCCTTGAAAACCCAGCATCACAAGTAACTCATTTACAGGCATTTTATTCATTTCTCACCTTTGTTTAACTTTGATCATTCCAGTGCCTATCTGAATTGGTATTCCCATGATTATGCACTCAGTTACTCCTTCAATCTGATCATCCCTCCCATGCACAGAAGCATTGAAAAGGTGATCTGCAGTCTTCTCGAATGATGCTAGCATTAATACACTCTTGTCCATCTTTTGGATTCCAAATCTTGTTATTCCAAGGACCTCACCCTATTTTCATAAATCCGTTTTGTAAGTTTAAATCTAATATGTCTTTTGAAATCTGAGATTCAGTCATAACTTGTTATACTTTCCAAATGACTCACCCGGAAGGTCATCACATCAGCCAAAAGCATCATATGGCGTGCGTCTATACTCATTCCATGGCTTCCCATTGTAAACTTTATCTCTTCAATGATACACTTTCTAGCTGCTTCAATTCCTTGAGTCTGCTCAACTTCAATGACATGATTACTAAGAGTTCTACGTCCATCAACCCCTTCAATGCCCATAACCTCTTGGAGGCCCGTGCTGGAAAAAGAGAACAAAATACATGTAAACTAAGACATTTGTCAACAATATAAGCAACATATTGCAACTTACTCAGCAGAATACTAATATCATGAAATCTTATGCAAAAAACTGCAACTCGAAAGCACAAAATATGTTTTCCTATCATCTTCGTTATATTTAAGCAACTCCAAAACAGAAAAAATTACAACTAGAAAAAACAAACTCACAGAAATGGAGAACTCTATTCTTACAACTATCGAGTTATTAGTTGCAATTCACTCTTGGATCTCTATGGAATGTTAAAAAAAAAAATCTGGAATAAACTCA